TTTCGTCTCCAATATTATGATATCTCTTATTGGCCCGAATCCCCCCCTTGTATCCACCCTACTGCACCCGAGATGTTGCATGCATCCTTCGTTCGTGCAGCCTTCACTCTCTACCCTTACTCTGGAATAATGACGTCTTTTCCTTCTTGATTACATGTCACGTATGTACGGTTATGGTTCGATCATGATACTCTGCTTGTTTTTCTCTTTGCCGATGTTTCGAATGGATACTTATGTTGTGACGTAAGATGATGAGTTGGTTCCTCTCTAATTTCCTAGTCTCATGCATGCAGGAGGTTCAATTATCTTTTCCCTTTTCTCGTTTCCTTTATCTTTTCCACTTCTGGTTAGAGCATACAGAATATCCCAGATTGTCGTCAATGCGCGGGGTTTAGACCCACCAGGCGGATTTATCAATTCTTATATGGTCTCGAGTAGCATGCTTGAACACTTTGCAATGGAATCTCGGTTCTTGCTGGGTTACCTTCGTTGTAGTATATAGTCCATTCTATCTGCGATCATGCGCAGCTTACCCTACCAACTCCCCCACACCGGGAAATTGACTACCTCGCAGAAAAAAAAATTCCTCGAGTCCGAAGATACGGCTCTGAACTCACAGGTCATGCTCCCAGAGCCCTTTGTCTGTCCATTGTGTCCTGTACTCGAGAAGACCGAACCCACCCACCTACGACCAGAGTCAGTCTTCTGCTCATGGCTCTGGCGCTCATCACAAATCAATGTGCGGTCGGTATGTTAGCCATATCCATCGGGTCCAGTTGGTTCAAATGTAGCTTTGCGACTGTACTTAACTCCCTTATAAACCTTACCCTCAACGGTTACATATTGAACAAAACCATTATATATATACATACCTAGGTATCACACAACGACTTATAAGTCCAAAACAAGCATTTTTCATGCTGATGAAGGTTTAAGTTTGACAATACGAACTCACGTAAGCGTGGGTTCTGCGAGAAGGTAGCATACTGCACTTATCCAGACCGGATTGCTTCTTGCGACGAAGGCCAGAAGAAGGGGAAGTCAGCCAAGGAGAGGACGGAGCTGGGGACGGGGAAGGTCTGATGAAGAAGACAATGGGAGGGGATCTTTCATCCGCTTTAGAGGTAAGCTTACTGACATAGACTGCGTGGGTAGGGCTATCCTCGTGTGTACCGGTTGGGCTGTCATGAACAGCGAGTAGAATGGGGGTCCTCGCCTGCGGAGATTGTGTGAAAAGCACGATTTCCAAGCCACAATATCAAATCTCCAGAGCTCAAAGTTGCAGCAAGGCCAGCAGTCGCTGGCTTGACGCGGTATACGGTTGCTTTTCTATTGCAGACCCGCAGATGGATTGAGACAGATGAGTCATGGCCCATTCGAGCGAGGTTCGTGAGATTGCAAAGCTGCAGGATTGACGTTGATCTAGTGCGGCGCATACGATAACGTTACCAGTCTTTCAAGTTGCAGAAAGACGTACCTACCACAGAACATGTTCAAACCGGATACTAAAGCTCCTTTGGAATCCCACAAATCAAGTACTGATATCGAACCATAGTCCCATATACAGAAAAATAATTCCGAACTCCAGATATTCCCCGGCAGTTGCAATCCATGTTTCCAGTGATATCTTGCCCTATGACAACGCACCCGTGACCCTCAACCAGCGAATATAATATCAGAATAATCCGTAAACAGCCAGTAAACCTCATCCTAATGGTTGTCAGCTTAGCTGATAAGATAAAAAAGAAGGCGACTATTTCATACTTACCCCTTCCATCATATCAACAAATCTCTCATCGGCCTGTGGAGCAGCAGCAGCATTCTGCACAATCCCACCCGGAGAAGTATCCCATCCCGTTCTTCCTGCGCAAAATAGAACCGCAGGATACTGCCATCCCGAAAGGCCAAGGTATCATACTCTGATCTCTTACTGGTGTCTTGGTACCACTAGCCCAGGATGCGCTAGGTTCCGTCGTGGTAGCAGAGTAGAATGGATAGCAAGCCACAAGGGATTGAACATGCCTCAACGGTGCTTGTGAGAAGAATCTTGGAGGATAAAGGATATCTTTAACTTCCATGTGTTGACACAGCGGGATGGGGGAAACAGCTTGGCGTGGAACGGGGTGCCTGTATGGCTGATAAATACTGCCTAGGCTCGTGATTTCCCTAAGACCTGGAGACTTATCGTAGTAGAGGCCCTGGAGATCTCCATCGTCGACATTGAATATGCGCTTTGTGCAGATCCTGCTGGGCTCAATATAGGGACCGAGATAGTGTGTTTCGTCTTTGCTGGTGGTTATTTAGGCCAATGTAAGTATCAAAAAGCTTCCTCGCGAGAAAGAGGCACAGCATACAGCCAGGGTAAGGTTCTTTGAAAAAGCTGATTCGCTCCAGACAACAGACACTGAAATCATGGTTTCTTGACGATCGAGGCGGAAGTGAAGAGGGTGACCGTATTGACGCCCGCACCAGTGGGTAAAAGAAGAAGATTTTCCGCGAGACGATTGATGCGGGCAGGAGCGAAAGTGCGTTCCGATTCCAGTGATGCCCCTACTCCAGCAGAATGCTGTAAGTACGTATAGCTTTCCCTCCTTACTCTGTAAGGGGATATGCTCCATAAGCCGCTGAGCGTGGGTCGAGAAGTCCACATGCCGTGGCCAATCATAAAAGGAATCTGCAGAGGGGCAGGCAGGAGGAAGTATAGATGACCAGAGGAAGTCATGTCCACATATCGATGTATCGCAAGGGCTGATGTCGAAGATTTTAAAAAGCTGAGTTTCTATATTTGAAAACCCCGTAGCCGGGAACAGGCACTTACATCCCACTTGAGATCGACATGCAACTCTTGTGTCTGAGGGTAGATGACTCCGCGGAACTGAGTATCCGACATTGTCTTGTTCGATTTGGCGCTGGGTACTTCCGACACAAATTCCAGCTGAGAAAGCCCATGAATCTCACTTGTGAATATCATTGCCGCTTCCCGAGGAAGGGACTGATACGGCTGTACAATGTTCGCTTTCATGGCCGTACACTATTTCTCCCTGACGAAGGCCACACACATGTCTGCTTCATGACGTCTGTGTAGTACAAAACAAGGTCACCATACAAAGAGAGAGTCGCAGTTCCGTTTGTAACTGAAAGGGCTTACCAAAGATATTTCGTAGCCTGGAGTGCCAGAATCGAGCGTACACTGCCATGAGATATGAAGTCCCAGATCAGTGCAACGAGTTCCGGTGGAAGTTGCCCGCATCTTCTGAACAGCTCTAGATATTCATCATCGTTGGGCGGATTTCGAGAATCAGCCGAGGTGCAAACTGATGAGTGGATTGACTGTTGAAGGTAACCTTGACTTCTGTAGGCCTCCTGTGGTAGTACCGTCCAAATATGGGGTTTCATCGCGAGACCTATATCGTGAATCATAACATCCTTTGGTAGATCTACTACAGCAGATAAGCAGATACTATGAACCGCAGGCGCATATCTTGCCTTTCGTCGTGGATAGTTGTGTATAGCTATATATAGATTCTCAAACTCGATCGTCTGACCGTCTTCTCGAGAAGCGGCAGCTGGAGTCCAGACAGCGGTCTGGTCTTGTAATTCAATAACTGCAATTATTAGCAGGTGAGTAAGAGCCATTGAACCTGCGACATACGTGCGCGAAAGTATGTATCTGTTGTAAATCTCTGACTACAAAATGAGCAATAAGGGACTCGCTTGTAGCGACGAGGCTTCTACGGAAGGCCTGCAAACTGTTCCATGAGTGAGGGTGGAAAACGTCGCAGAGCTTGGCAATGCACGAGTCGCCGGGATCAAGCCTCGACATATATGCTCGCCGATAAGCGGTCTGATCGTGCTATTTTAGTTTGCTGGTGGAACGTGGCTACCCCTTCCTTCAAGCATATGCACCCCAATTGGGCAGCATCTGATTAGTAGACTAATTTGTATACCAGGTGAGTATTCAGTCATAGAAGTCACATGACAAAATATCCCCTGGACGTATATGAGAAAAAGCAATAATCTTACTTCAAATAGCTTAGGAATAAGGGTAATCAAGAATTGGGCAGCACTGGGCCTCGATAAGCTGATTTCATGTGATTCCTTTTTTCTCTCCGCTGTGCTTCATCTTTCTACTTCTAGTTAGAGTATACATATATCCTAGATTATATCCACGCAGGGTCTATATCTATATAGGTAGAAATATTGATATTGAAATTCCTGTACAGTACTGAGTAGTATCTATAGATTCTGGTGTGCAACCTTTGAAGTTATATTGTATTTAGATTCTTTTTACCCCCCTACCTTTGGGGCCTGTGCTTATAGTAGAAAATCAACTATTCCACAGTATCATTTAAGCTGATGTTGGAGCTTTAATCTCAGGTTCTCTACTTACAACCGTCCACGTCTTTCGACAGATTCCTGCGTGGTACAGTAGGTATGCATATCCGCAAGGTCCGGTTCACTTGCAGCTTCCGACTCGATCCCCAAGCATTCCACAAACTCTCACTTTTGAGTACTTGAGATGATATTGAACAAGCCTTATTTCATCACGTAATCAATTTAAGAACCCATAAATAAGAGACGTAAAAACCCAATATGATGCTGAGATTGGCTCCATACAAAATGGGTTATTCAAGGTAAGCTTCGCAAGCGGTGCTACACTGCATTGGTCAAAGCGTAGATTGAGTGGGGAAATGTTCTCGTCTGCTAGTAATAATTTGAAAAAACCCCGTCAAGTCCAAGTTCGTATCCCAGCACTTGCTGATGATGTGTCAACGTTGATGCAAATGCAGAGAGGTCGCTGGCATAAGCCATACACTCTGCAAGCCGAATTACCTGCGGAAGTAAGCAGAAATGTACTCCTTCACTTGTGGTTGGAAGATCCTAAGCTCAATTCTGGCTCTGTATGGTACCTAGCTACCTCACCCTTCTAAGTTACGAGATAGATCACACTCATGCATATGCCGTCGGTAACAGCAGTGATGTGATTGCCTTTCCCACTTCAGCTCTCATAAACTGAATGTAATCATGTTTCCAGCTTCGACCTCCGAGTTGTGGAAATACCGTTGCCCCGTATAACTATTCTTGTCAGTCATATTTTCCACTCAAGGTGAAAACTCGAAAACAAACTCGTACCTCCAATACGTCAGCCCCATCACCACATTCTTACAGCCCTCCAGGAAAGCTTCAGTAACTTGGTCATGCGGCGCAGAGTCATGCTGAGCTCGAAGATGCTTCTCAGTCTCATGGAAACCGTGTGCTGCCTCATCGACCAGCATAATAGCTAACTTCATGGCGGTGTTGCAGTCGACACCTTCGTTGAGCATTAATACCGGGATGAGATTCTCGATTTGCCCGTCCGCCTGAGGGTTGAGGGTTAGTAGTGATTGACACGGGCATTTACGAGATGAGCGTACAATTTCCTTGCGCAACGAAAATATGTCGTTGATCCTGCATGAGTGTTCAGCTTCATGGTCAGAGAGACGGCTAGCACAGGTGAACTGACATGTGTACCAAATACGACGTATGTTTCCACAACAACTGCATCAACTCGCCATCTAGCTGTTGTTGTGAGACATCAATACCATAAATGAAGCTAGTAGTCTGTCAGTTGAGAAATTCTGTTACGAAACGTTTCACCCACGGGATTGTGGCTATAACCGGATACACCCCGGCAGTGCGTTCACGCCGGCTCAGATATTGCTTCAGCGATGGAATGTGGTTTCCCGAGTAGACTGTGTCCACAGTATCAACACTCTCAACATAGTATAGCTTCTGGTCCAGAAGGACCTTTAGGCTATCTAGAGACTTGTTAGCTTGATGAATGTTAGAGCGCGAGGCGGATTGACCTTTTGAGCACACGCTTCGAATATGATCGGCGACTTCATTCCAGCATAGCAAGGCAAACTGAAGCTCCTCTGAGAAGCATGACAGATTGGGGATGTCTTCCTCCTCCCCGAGCACGGCGTGAAAGTACCGTACGGATTTCTCTCTGTATTCCTGGGCTTTATCTTTATCGTTGGCGAGGATGCCACAGTCGAAAACTACAGGCGTGTCAACAGTAAGCTAACTTAACGAAGTCATGATCTCTCAGGGTTTCATACTATCATCCCAGATAAAATACTGTGTTAAGCTTTTAGCTACGTTCCTTTAAAGAAAGATGAGGGGACTAACCCATGCAAAGGCTTTGGACACGGTACATAGGACCTCAAACGAAGAACGCGCACAGATGATAGCAGCAAAGACTCCGAAGTCTGCCTTCTGAAACTTGCGGCTCGTAGCTCAATTTGGCACCCATCTGTTATGAGTTTAGAAAAGTGGCTCACAGCGAGACTGGTACTTACCGCTCGATCCACGGATTGAGAACTTGATCTCGAGCTCTCTCATAATCAGGATGAATCACAGCCTTCCATTCGGGAAATAAAGCATATAGATCTGGGAGTGTGGCTGTTTGCCCACGGATTGTCTGGCGGAATACGGCCAATGATTCATCAGTTGACACCATCTTTCCTGGATTGACTGAGTTGGGCTTCGGTAGATCGTCCTGTACTCAACTGCAAGATCTCTGCAGAATCGTGGTGGAATTTATACGAGAAGGGATCTGCATTGTTGATCGATCTAGAGGATTTTCATAAGCGAATGTACTCATATCAGTATCATCGAGTGGCTGTCGCAGGCTCTCAGCCCGTCAAGTGGGGTACACACTTTCTCAGACCCATCTACTAGTGTCAAAACAGCCTCCATCTTCGTTCTTTTTCCCCACCTCAGCTTTTCGTCTTGCCGCGCTGTTCAGCTGAACGAAGGGTTGTGTGATGGCGCGGCTGTAGAAAGAGTAAAATGATTCAGCGCAGTAGGATTGACTCAGCTGCACAACACGGCCTGGTTGGCAATGTTAGTCAATAAGTTATTTGGTAGGGGGGAAAGTTTGCTTGCCGTATTCAGGATTATGGCTCACAACATCGAAGATGGGATGGATTCCTTAGCAACAAAGTATCCAAACTCTCTTTGGCTGACCGACTTCTTTTCCCACTCACTTGTACTCAGTAACATTTGCCGACATGTCGATCTTTACTCTCGAAAATCTTTTGCGAGGCACCAGAAGCTTTCCACCTGAGCTCTGGCACGAGTCAGTCGCTCTCTTGTTCACAGTTTGAACTTCTCATCTCGGCGCTTTTGCATATTTCTTCATGAGGAAAGTACTGCATTTCACTTCCGATTTAATGCCGGATACTTTTCCCTCGAAGCTTAAAGAACTATCAGCGACTGATCACGAGTGACTACACAAGGGAGAATGTTGACATACTTCTTTCTCTCCCCCAATGTGAAGCATATGTTATAAAGCGGTTCAGCCGACTCAGCCACCTGGCACTGGCACTTTCAGCCACTTGCCAATTTTGGCAGGCGTGATGCCCCACTGCACCTGCCTTCGCCGCGGCATTTCAAATCCATTCTCCCGGATTATCAGGCAATATGAGACTCGCCTTCGAATATTGTGGGCATCTTGGATACTTAGTACTCTCCATCTCTTTCCCCTTGATGCTTATCGTTGCCTTATAGCTGATGCTGTCAAATGCAAGAAGATGTCCCGAGTCATATTCTGGGCTATCTCAGATGGGCTGGCTATACGCGGCGAAGGGCGGTGAACTGCCCACCAACTAGAGGAGGCAAGAGACTCTTACAGATGTACATAGGTCCTTTAGCTCTGCTGGAGAACATATTTATACTAGAGGGGAGTAAATTGGAGGCAAGCAGGTGATTCTGCTCCCGAATTTTTTTCTGCCTGATTTCTGGATACACACGTCACTAGCGCAAGTATGGCTGCACCTATATCAGTCTTCGAATCGTTCTTTGATATCAGTCCACGCGCGCTCATATCGAAGCTCGCTCAGCATAGGAGTAGAGATTGGGCATTTTGACATAGACTGCTAGCCTCGGAGATACCTAGCAGGCAGCAAGATTGCAAGGAGACCTAATAAAAGACCTTATAGTAGTTTCAATAACTTTGATGATCAGTATATAAAGATGTACTTTAAAAAGAGATACCAATAATCACCAATTTGACACGGCGTATCTGCCTATGAAGCATATGCATAGTCAATTCAATGTATGCACAAGAACTAAGGTAACACTCTATGAGTAAGAAACTGATCTTAGTACTTTTCTTTCAATCTTCCACTGTCACCGAGGTCTTGTCTTCTTCCAATGGTGTTTCTCGACGTTGAAAAAAACGAGTCGGGATATCCATCTTCCGATGCCCCACTACGCAAACAGGAGTAACAGGGTCATGTGACATGGTGTAGGGACTATATAAGTATGTATTTCCCCGTTATATCAACTCTATGTTCCCTACGTCTTTTTGCTAGAGTCTATTCTCTATATACTGCACAACACGTTTATGAGACTTTCGGTCAAGAATGATCACCAAATATCGTCCAATCACTGTAATCACTGAACTTCAGGTTCCCCAGGGGCTGGAGCTTGATGCCGAACAGTGGGCTGGCTGTTTTCAACCATTGGTGCACGCAGAAGGTCACAGGGGGACATTCTGGGGAAGGTCACAAAAGGAGCCCGGGGTAGTACTTCTGGTAACATGTAAGTCGAGCATTTTTACCAGACCCCTTAGAACTATAGGTATATTTATTTACCCTTCTATTCAGTATGGGGACATCCCGACGAACTTAGAGATTTCCAAAATTCGCCTTGTGCCCAGTTATTTAGGGAGTCTCTTCTGGCAGCTAACGCCATACAACTTTCCTATCACGAGGCTCTCATGGACGAATATTGGTTCCCATCTCTAGAAAGGGCATTTGTTCAGTTTTATTGGGTCTACCTTCCCGCAGCAATGACCCCTGAGCAAGAGACTCGGCTTAGCGAATTCCATGGCCTTAAAACACCAGCTCTCGGACCTAGTATTCCAGCAAGCCGGTCGCGTTCGACCCGCCTTCCGAAAAAGATATGGGCCACCCAGACAGAATTGTGGCGTGGTCAAGAAGCCCGACTAATGCTTTGGGCGCACTTCTGGCGAGATGAAAAGGCGGCCGATTTCAGGTTCCTGGAAGAAGACCTCGTAACACATCAGAATAAAACCGAAGTACTTTTTGAGGTTCTTGTTGAAGCCGGTGCGTTAGAATGGAGGGAGGATTTCTATCAATTTCACGAGGTGCCTCGTCTGCGAACGCTATGAGGTTATTGTGTTTCAGGCTCTTGTTCTTGTGATATCGACAGCGTACTCAGAGAGCTCATAGCAATCTGGGAGATATTTGATTCTTTTGTTTCGGTATTCCTTCTTTGTTTCTATTTATGCTTGCACCTGCATTGCCTCACAATCCCGTCCCATCATGCGATCAATTCGGCAACGCCTGTATGAAAGCTCCATCTTCTATTCGGTTTCGCCGCGGTTCCCCACCGCGTCTGCTGGAAATACCAGTAACCCACGCTGAAGAAGAGATATGTCTCTGGGTTTTCGCGAATGAGGCTCACATAGTCTTTAGTCTGGCCTTCAACTGCCTGATGGGGATCCTTCATGAGCTTTTTCTGCTGTATACTGAATGGATCTTGGACAGTCGTTAGTCGGAGATAGTTTCAGGTGTCTGTTAGTTCTGCAGGAACTTACAATCTACATCGTAAGTTTTGGCGTTCCCAACCGCGAGGTGGAACAATTCATGATATAGAGTGCCACTAAGGGGAAGGTTATACTGGATGGACCGTCCAGCTGTGGGCGCTCTCGATCCGAGAGTCACCGTAACATCTGTCCTCCTGTTGAGGGCCCTAGGACAAAAGGTCATTGTATTCGGATCGGTTCTTTGCTGTGTTACTGCCAGGTTGTCGGGGTCCGTACAGTAGGTCCTGCCGTTGTAGTCCGAATCGAAGATATAAGCTTTCAAGTCATCTGACCAATATGGTACCGTATCGGGGATAGGCTCCCATATCCCATCATCAGTTAAATAGAAAATGTCTTCTCGATATTCCGGCACCTGATAGATTGCGAGTGGGGCCTCAGAGCCGTCTGGATACTCTTTCCATCTATCTATCCCCTTTTTATCCTTTGCCGCGTCGGTCAGATGTTCCTTTTCGAGCCATCCATCATTGCAGTACAGATGAGCTTTAGTTGTGGATGTTTCGCCGTTGAGGAATTTTTTTACTGTCGTGAGGTAATCTGGAGTTCAATAAGCAGTGTGATCCAGGAAATAGGTAAATGGTTCGTTTTCCCTACCCTTCACCAACGCCATTGCCTTGGCATCATCATTAATCCTGAAGTAGGTCCACAGATAACTGCGTGCAATGTAGCCTTCTGTGGTACTGACAGGCTTGCTTGCATCCTCGAACACTTGCAAACCGGCATTGACCATTTCTTTGCACTCAGCTATAAATGTCTCGAATTGATCGAGGTACTGGGCACAGCCTCCATTGGCGTCTGTGTCTGTCTTAACCACGAAGAGAGACTGGAATGATGTATCTGTCGACTGAGCTGGCACCCAGAATAGCCAAAAGTAAACAAGTAGAACCCAGCGCATGATTAGTGTTGCTTGCCCAGTGCTAGAACTGATGATACCAAAATTTCTTCCTCTTTCACCTGATGAGGTGCATGAACGGTATATATGTCTAAGACGCAGGCTATTTCAACCACTACCGGATTCAGATGCCCTAAGTACACCGACGCTTACAAAGGCCCCAACCGATATCGACCGAGACAACAACTCCATTACGCCCTCTGTCCCTGAGAATCCTGCAGCATAGCACTGCTCCTGACAACGAGACCTCGATCGGTGGTTTTGGTTTGCTAAGAGAGCCTATACAGATGGGGCCACGCGAAGAGGTCGGAAATTACTGCTCCATTAGTGGTAGTAGCGCTCTTCGACAAAACCCCAAGAGTGCCACCGGAGACATTTGCAGACTCTTGGCAAACAATGAATATCTAGTAGTCACTGAATGGAGTATTTAGTGGGGGTAGCATCAGGAGGTAAACATCGAGATCCAGTGGTACCTGATTTGCTCATTGCCCTAATCAATGCTAGCGTGGAAAATGTCTCCTAACATCGAAGGGTATTGACATTCATGATTCGGGGCGGTCCGCTCTGCTACGGCGCCCCGACCAATCGGCGGCCTGTACCTCAGTGAACTTGGCGTCCGCGACAAATTCTTAGGAAAGGCTTTGTATGAAGCTTGTAAACATTCAAATTCCGGTCTTGCCGAGTGGGGAGAGAAAAAAATCTGATCTGGTCGCATGTTCTGACTCAGAAATCTGCACAGTTACTGGTGAGATCTAATGTTTGATCTGTCGCATTTATGAATGTAGTATAGCAATAGGCTCTGCTTCCGAGTAACAAAGGATCACGTGACAAAAAGCATGCAAGTATGTCATCCAGCGTAGAAAAATGAAGAGCTTGTCAAGCTATCAAACCGAGGAAATGCTCCTGCAATACTTGATATTAACATAAGAGAATATCCTTTGGCAATCACTCAAGCGATGCCTATGACTCGAATGAGCACGTATTGAGGGCTGTACTATGCAGGTACCGCCTGCAAATGACCCACTTGGTCTATTTCCTCCCCAGCCTGAGAGACTCGGACAGGGTTCAGCCTAAGCCTACTTAGGGCTGTATTTGAGTGCTAGAGTCCCCGCCTTATGAGCCTTGCCACCTCTCAGGGGGTGATCGCAGGGTCTGCGAGGGTTATCTCCACATCCCCTATATGAGTGTTTTCCTCCCAGATCCGGATGCTTTCGGCTATGTCCATATCTTCTTCTCGCTTATGCGAACGGAGGCCAAACCCCCACCATTTGACAAGACAGTGAACCAGGTTAGGTTAGAAAAATCAATAGTCTCTTTCTCCGACACATAAGGACCACAGGAACAATTGGCTCAGGTGCACGGGGTTTGAACCGGAGATATCCCTTTCTTGGCTTCTACATGACTAGTCTAATCCGTAGCGTCTATGTGTTTATACAAATGGGGCTTGGTCACGAGAAGCCCAACTCTACAGGTGTCGTAGGATATCCTGTCGCAGGAGAAGATGCTAGCTATAGCGGACTGTGCAATTTCGACTGCAATCTTGGCTTTTGTCCGCCGACGGCCTGCGGAACTGAGCAAGTTCCCTTAACCACACCCTCGGTTTCTCCATTTCTTCCTCCAGCGTGCACGGCAGGCACGGGTGAAGGTAACCTGGCAGGCCTTTGTGACTTCAGCTGCACCCATGGCTTTTGCCCAATGAACGCCTGCACCTGCACAGGCCAGGGAGCAGTCAACGTCATGAATCCCACCACCGACGTGGTGGGCGAGGCAGCCCCTGGTCAGGATCCTGCCATCTACGGTCCTCTTTGCGAGTATACCTGTCAGCGAGGATACTGTCCCGAAGGCGCGTGTGCGCCGAAAACGGAGAGCTCCGGCGGATCAGGGTCTGGCTCGGGGTCTGCATCAGGGTCCGGAGATGGCGATGTCTATCTCGCACCATCCATCTGGCATGATCCTTCGCCAGTGGTTCAGTGCTACCCTCCCTGCTCGTTGATTTTCCCACCCCTGCCTCTCGATGAGCCGACAACTATCCATCTTCCACCCTGGACAACTAAGGTCCCACGAAGCTACGTGATAAGCAATACCTCAACCGGCGGAGATGGCCAAGTCACAACCCACTATGGATACGAGACTACTACGACCAACATCACCGTTGCTCTGCCGCCTAGTATGTAATCCACCATCCTTTATCCCTCGCGCTTTCTCAGCTGACTTCCACTTCCAGTCATTACTGGTTTTATTCCCATGTGGGGGCTTTATGTCAATGCCAGTGTAACAACTACAACTATAACCATGACGACTAGTTCGACCTTCCTCTTGTGGTGCAAGTGCTACCACCTTATGGCCCGACTCCGACCAGTACCACCACCACCCTGACACCACCTCCATATCCATGGTCTCAGCCTACAAAGGATCCCGTTCTCAACACCGTACCTACAATCTGGTCGTCCGAAAAAGCCAAGCCCACCACAAGCAAAGGTAGCAAGGGCGCTGGTCACAAGTGTGCTGCATTCTGCAATGGGCCCTGTCTGGGGTGTGCGCCGGACTGGAGCAACGCTGTCAACGGCGGAGGCGGCAGTAGTGGCGGCGGTGGTGGTGGCAGTGGCTCTGACAGCTCCGACGACGAGGACTGCAGCACCGAAACGGCGAAGATCTGCTCGACCGTCTGCGTGGCCGGGTCCGGTTGCGACTGGGACTGCTCGACGACGACCGGGTGCTCCGTCACGGCGACCTCGACCACGACCACCGACACCCCTGCCCCAGGCTTCGCGGTGACCATGGAGCAATGGCCGGAGATCACGCCGCAGCCCGACGAGGACATCCGCATTGCCAGCTCATTGGAAGCCGAGCTCTCCTCGATGTTTGGCCCCTTGAATGTGATCAGCGGGCCTGAGGCCACGGCCACAGCCACAGCCACGGGGACGGGGACGGGGACCGCGTCCGGCATGCCCCCAGCAACGGCGCCGATGCCGGGCGCGTCCTCATCAGCTACTACCACGACACGCACACCGGCACCGGGGAGTGGGACTTGTACCAATACTACGAGCACGGCCCGAGTCCGGACATGTGCCCGGAGGTCCAGACCCCGAATTTCGTCATGACGGACGGCGCCTTCCAGGGGATGCGCGACGGGACGGGCGGCTTCAAGGCCTTCGGGTCCACCTGCACCTACAAGGGTACGGATCTGCCGGCAAGCCAATCGTCCGGTTCCAATGAGGCGAAAGTGGGCACCTTTGTGTGTGATGGGTTCCGGGATGCGACCTGCTATACCGACCTGGCAGTGGGAACCACGTGCGCGGAAGGCTGGCAGTCCGCGAACGAGGTGCTGCATTGTGAATGGTAGAGATAACCCACCCCTCTTTCTTGACGAGCAAAAGTAGTTTCCTGTATGATTTAGTATATTCCATTTATGACCTGCACTGTAATACATGCAACGATGCAATGTCCGAGTTTTTGTTACCTTTTCACATATAGATTTGCGCAAAGCCCTGCAGTTGATAACACGGAGTGTGTTGATAGGTGGCACCGTATACACGAAAAGAAAGGGCATAAGCCATAGAGGAGAAAAGGATAAAAGAGAATGGGAAAAAGGATAGAAGAGAGAAGAGAAAGAAGCTCCATCTGCTCCATCCAAACAATCGTCAGGTGCCTGAGAACTATCATATAGGTCCATTTTTTTCTTTTTCTCTCTTTTTTAGGGGAAAAAAAAAGGCTCGTCTAAAATGGCGATCCGTCCTGTACGGTCGGGCGAAGCTCATTTAAAGTTAGTGGTGGTTTCAAATCCCCACCCACAAGATCGCAAATCTCGGATCAATTTTCCGGTCTCTCAGAGTACTACTGTGGATCCTCGCTATAGCATATCAACTGGGAAAGGCCGACCAGTTTGTTATACTGAGGACTTCGTTGTAGCGAATATAGGTTTTTGGTGTATATATCTATATATTTTTTAAGACCTGATTCTGGAAAAAACTAGCCACGTAATCTATAAAATCTAACCTTTCTAAATAGGTATAAATACTTATTTATTTAGACATAACTCTTTCTCTATAGAGCGGATTTTGTATATAGAAATAGCCTTGACTCGCGAACTTCGTTATATAGCGAGGCGTTATATAGCGAGAATAAAAAATTTAGTATAAAGAGCGGAAATCCCCAGCCCGAAAGGTTCGTTTTAGAGAGAAATTCGTTATAAAAAGATTCGTTATAGCGAGGATCCACAGTACGCTGCTTACCTAGCTGCCACGCAGTTCTCTCTTGGACTTCTTTTGGGTTATCATATACGTTAGCAAAAGGTGGACTAACACATACGACCACAGGGTGTGGAAAATAGGGCTTCCCGTCCGCTCAGCCGTACTCAAGCCACACGCCGGGAGGTTAGTAGTTGGGTGGGTGACCACCAGCGAATCCCTTCTGTTGTATGTTTTTTTTTCAATTTTTATTTTGCTTGGTCTTAGATTTTTTTCCTCTGTGATTCTGTTGTTACAAGCCCCCTGTCCAAGTGTTATATGGGTTTGGGGGGTCTGGAAACAACATAAAACACAATCATGGTTTAGTAGTTCAGCTGAATAGGCTGGCCTATGTGTTATAAGTGATAAAGTATGGTGCTTATAGCTAAAGTGATAAAATCTAGTAAAAAAAGCTACCTTAAATTGGGTTTGATTAGTTATAAAGTAACATCATGCTAAAAAATAAATATATAATAATAGTAATGCCGGGTATAGCAGAGGAAAAGATTTTTGATTTGTAGGTGTTCTTCTGGTACAGCCCGGTTTTTGGACTAGGCCGGGTTTTCAGAAAATATTACAGATGATACCTGTTGGCATTCTACTACAGATATCACTGTGTTAAAGGTTGGCGTTGTGTTCCGTGTTGGGGCTAGGGGTGATATATGCCTCACCCTTGAATCTCTCTCCTCTCCGTGGCTGCGGGTAATGATCTTTCTTTTCACATCTGCCAGCGCAGCCATCATCAAGACCACCCACATCAACGCCCTCGCCAACGTCTCTGACGCCACTTGTATCTCTCCCTCTCCCTCCCTCTTTCACCACCGATCTGGTAGACGAGCCACAATCTTGTAGACACAAGTTGGTCCCCTGTTCTCTGGACCAAGTAAGTCTGAGGTCCTCGACCCTCCATGTTGCCATTACTAATGCCTCTACACCGTTGAAGCAGACCTCATTATGATCGCCTTCTGCATCCGACTCTACAACTTCTCCTCCAATTCCTCTCGGGGGTATAGTCTCTTGCCTCCTACAGCCACCCACGCTCCTACCCAACGGGTGCTTACGAGGGAGGGAGAGGTAAGCCCGGACGCTCCCACCACTCGACGATGCTATCCCTCACAGACCCGACCATCCTCGCTACCACCTCGGCGCGACGCGACGGTCAGGAGGAGATTTCGCCGAGTGACTTGCGGACGTAATATCTGTTTCCGGGTCGACCGGTTCTGGAGATCCACCGGACGAGATAGAGGAAAGAGAAGTGGATATAGATAAAAAATGATTGCCTAGTTGATTCAGGAATTCAAGCGTCATCTTTCTTGCAGGTCTGATAGATCGAGCCAAATACCTTTTTACTATCTCTGAGTGATGTCTTCGTTGCTTAGTCATCAAATTGAAGTCGAATTTCATATACATGTCAAGTATTTGTTATTGGATTGCTACATATAAGCTACAATATGTATCGTATCGTAAAGAGCCGAAAGAACTGGAACCTGCATGGATTGATGCTTAGCCCCCCGGTTAGTGGACTTATTCGGCCGCCCGAGATCGGACAGTGGCGCACAGGCACAGCAACTAACTACGCCCTATCAACAACTCCCTTTCCTTTCTGCTTGAACTACTATCAAAACTCTGCCAAATGTCTTCATTCCTTTCTCGACTGCGTGCGCTCTTCGGAGGCCCGACCTCCTCCCCCTCCTCCTCCCACAACGCGCGACCCCTGACCCAAGTAGCCATTATCGGCCTATTCGGCGCGGGCCAACGAACGGTCCTAGAGCACCTCAGTGAGAGCCCGATCCGCCCTTTCATCCTGCAGGGACAGCATCACATCGCGGAGGAGGGCAGCAGCCCTTCGCTCGGCCTCGCGCTGCGGATGGTGGACGTGGGCGGCGACGCCCCGGGGCGCTGGCACGTGCTCACGGCCCAGTCCTATGCGAACGTGGACGCGCTGATTGTCACAGTCAATGTCGCGGACCCTATTACCCTGGACGAGCTTCGGCAGGAGCTTGGGCGAGTGGTGCGCGGCCGACGCGTGCAGGGATGGACAGAGCCTTTCCCTGTCGCGAAACAGGGAATTCCGTGGCTGGTACTGGTGATTTTCAAGGGGGAGGTAGTGGTGAGTATAGGAATTTTTTTTTCAAGTTTCTTCTTTCGCAATTCTGAGTGGTACTTTGCGTTTTACGGGGAATATTGGCTGATTTTGGTCATCTGCTGGTCTAATTTAAAGGATGAAAAGATTGCTCGAGAGCAGGTCGCTGCCCTGCGGTTGGATGAGCTGGGTATTGACTGGGTACCTCAAGTTCTCTTCCCTTGATATTATGCTTCTCGTTGGGTGGTTGTTGGAAACAAAAAAAATTACTAATTCACTTCAACAGGTCTTCCGCCCCGTCGCGGCGGGGAATGGAAAAGATATCAAGCAGTCTGTTTCCTGGCTGACGAACAGACTCGAGGAATATAAGAAGGGTGCTGAGAAGGGGAAGATCTGATCACTGTGCGTGATCTGTGTTGGCCAATCCTGCCACCCTGGGGTATACAAGGAGCTACTCATCGAGGAATGCGGGTTGAGAGAGATGAGCCTGCGGTTTTGCGTAGCTACTAAGACATACAGCATTATTTGAGTTATGCTCTCAATGATCTCGGTCTCGAGATTGGTTTCCTACTGAATTGCATCTTCGTCGGCTGAGAGGACTAATCATGCTGTTCTTATTGGTACTCTAAACTGTTTCCAAGTTTCTGGATTTTGTAGTTTCATCCCCCCTTGGGTCATCCTTTCCAATTCCCATAGGTGGTAGATATATGAAATGAAAGGGAGCCAGTGCACGCCGCGCCCTTTCAGAATCATGATCCCGTTCCAGTGGCAGTAGCTAGTGCAGATATACTGCCCCGGCATTAGGTCACTACATATGCCTATGATATTGGGGTTCCAAGCTGACAGCATGACTTGAGAGACTGTGTCATTTGCGAGTGAAAGCTGAGCTGCGATTGAACCACTGAGTTGTTGCTGGTCAGTTGGGTCTGTGCCCGGGAGAAATATTGGATAGTACATACCATGTCTCGCCGTTAGACGTCTTCTGAATATAGCAAGGCCTGGGGAGGCATAGCGGGGTAGTGGAATTACAGTTAGTGTTCCCAGCATTGAAAACCAAGTCCCCTGTCGTGACATTGAACTGTGCTGCGAGCAGATCACAGCTGCTACTGACATTGGTGAAGGCGTTCTCAGAGCTCAGCAGCTGCCGGCGGCGCAGTGAGGTCGCCAACGTGGGAATGAGTTGGCCAGTGCAGGTTGTGACTGATAACGTGGTACTGGTGGCAACGGTCGTGGTGGCGTTGGCAGTGGGTAGGACGCATAGGTTGCATTGGCATTCAAAGTGAAGGTCTCATTGTCCAGCCCGCAGTAAACCACTATAACCTGGAACTTAGCCCAAAGATAGTCCGTGTGCTGCGAACCCGGAATGTATGGCGAGTTCAATCGCGTCTGCAGCATCAGCGAGAAGCATTCGGCACAGATCTGATATAGCAAATTGCTCTCGGTTAGCATTGTCGACGACGCGCCTGCGAGGCGAAGGGGGTCAGTACTGACCGTGGAGTTGTCATACATCTGGGTCAATGGCTGGTCTGGGGAAAGCGTTCCATCGCTCATGTGAATCATGTCCGATCCGACCCAGTCCTGCGATTCAAGCATGTAAGAAGACCCGCTCTAGTCCATCAAGCACGCCAGGTACATGCCCTGAATGTACCGATTAGAGATGGTGTCGATTGAAACAGTCACACCCATATATGTATATGTATAACCGCTGCATTGGGTACTAACTAGATCGTTCCATGCTACCGTGGATGCCTGACATTGGGAAGTGCATAGCTCGGTGATGTTTTCAGATGACCACAAGTAGTTGTCAACAGCATGCAGCCGCCTGAAGTTGACCGAATCACAGGCAATCGTGGTATTTCTGGCAAGAACATCAGCCTGAACGTATACGAAGAAGATATTGAGCTCCACAACCAAACGTACAGCGCCGCAAAACAGGTCTCCGAGACCCCAAGAGCCTGGGTAAGCCGTGTGACATTGACTGCAGGATATAAACTAAACGCCGCATGAGAGCTGCTAACGAACTGCAAGAGGAGGACTGCGCACGGCAGACCTTGCAGGGTATTTAGACCCATTCTTCTGTGAACAAATATTGTAGCACAGCTGTTAGATTAGGTTTGGAAAAAGAGCAGAGGAGAGATTCCTCTAAATATACGGAGGAATATAATAGCAACCCGATAAGATGGTTAGTTTTTGGTCGACTATAGAGCCTTTGGGACGGGGCTTCAGGGTTCGGACCCTTTCTGTCGGGTGGTATTCCTTCCTCCATGACTGACTCCTTTTTCTACCCATTGAGCCGATCTCGGAAATTACTGCAACCTACACCGCAAGTGAAAGTGCGCCGGTCAGATATTAGTGACACTGCTTGGGCTGCGTGCATTGACCAGATTATTAAGCTAACTAAGATAGCTTGACTCAAATAAGCACTGAGGCATCAGCCACAAGGACCACGATTACACCAATGCACGCTAGTGTAGGCTTGTGCAGCTTCCACCAATATAATAGATTTCAGGAGCATTGCTTCATCTGATGGCTTTTGACAATAGTTGATATCTCAGTGACTGCTGAGATTGTACTGTACAATGATTATAATACATTCATAATGCTTAAGTGCTCATTTCCCTACATATTTGACAGGCTTGGTATCATAATTCCAAATCTGTTTATATCAGACCTGATGCGCTACAGTCAAGACCTCGCATGGACAATTTCCGATAACGGGATAATACACATCAGCTGTGTTTACATGGCATTGCACTGGCTGCCTCTGCAGTCTTTACGATCGCATATATCAACTTGGGAAACCATGCCGGCAGTGCGTCTACGTCACTTACTACTTGTCTTGTCTTTCCCTTCGGCCACATACTTATTTCTTACGCTCTCTTTGATCTTCTATTTGTCTTGAAACTGATTATACTATGAAAGTTTACTGGTCGTCAGGCCTACTCCTGACATTAGCCTTACGAGATAACCCTCTTTATGGAAACATGACCATGGAATTCCACACGGTACATATCTGCACCACAGTCCCAATGAGCTATCGAATCGATACCTGAATGAGTTGTTCACTGCAGTGAAGCAGAATTATACCATTGAGACGTGGATATCGGTGGGCGGCTGGGCCTTCACCGATGCTGGCTCGACCCAAACGGCTTGGAGTAACATGGTGAGTAGCGCGGCCAACCGTGCAGCCTTTATCTCCAGTCTAGAGCAGTTCATGATCACGTACGGCTTTGACGGGGTCGATCTCGATTGGGAAAATCCCGGAGCCAGTGACCGCGGTGGAAGCAGCGAGGATGGCGCCAATTCTGTTCTGCTCGTGAAGCAGATGCGGAGCGCCTTTGGCACCAAGTATGGAATTTCCGTAACATTGCCAATTTCATGCAGGTAAATGCAAAACTTTAAGGTAAGTCACAGAAATGCACGTTACGTCGCTTCGGGGCCTTTGGAAACGATCACACGGTTGATGCTTGGTCTGTATATACATCTATCGTGTAGCCTGTCGAGATGGAGTCCTATGTCGACTGGTTCAACCTGATGGCATATGATCTTCACGGCACAGGGGACGTCACAGACACCTGGACCGGACCCTAAATCGAGCCTAAGCGAAGACCCAAGCGAGTTTCCTATCTTGAGATCTTAGGTAGTTCATCTACCAGCTGAGTGGGAAGTTCAGCCACAGGTCGGGTTTGGCCGTACCCAAAGGTCGGATGAATACTAGATTCAAAACCTTAACCTGCCAACCCGTGGGTTGGATCCTGCCAAGAACCTATTAAGCATAAAATACTTTTTAACTATACTAGAAATATAAAATTACTAAGTAGTTTAAACTTATTTGACAATTTCTTTACTGTATATAAGTATTAGAATCAAACAGTAGTAGTAGTTCTTCAAAGTTATTATATCTATATCCATCTGTAACTTTCAGGATATCCTGATTAAGTTACAAATTGCTGTAGAAACCGGATAAGTAGTTGATGACGGCCATATCAATTAAGGCCTATAGAGCTAAAAATTTCGTCGTGGCCGTGATGTAATTCCGGCGCAATTCAAAACTCCGTAAGTTCTCATCCCAACAGCGTATCCGCACACCCTCTCAGAAAATGTGGATCTGATCTTTCTCGAACCCTAGCTCCTCAAGGATCCCTCGTCCGCTAGCCTTTTCTCCCACCAAGGCTTTCTCCATCGGCGGAGGCCCACAGACGAGCACTTTCTCAGTTTTTTGTCGTTCCCCCCCAAATACCTGCTGCAAAAGACCTACAGTCACCCGTGCCCCATAAGTCACGTCCTTCTCCCCCTCTTCTTCTGTTGAGGGCCCCGCCTCGCTCACCAGATAATGCATTTGTAGCCGATCGGGATATCTACGCTGCAGGGCATCTAAATCCTCCTTCAGCACAAGGTCTTGCACGGAGTTAGCCCCGAATACCACTTGTAATCGGGTATGGCCATCCGGGTTTCCCTCTAGGATGCCCCGGGCGAGTTGGTAGGCGGGAGTGATACCCAAGCCACCAGCGATAAGGTAGATCTGCGAATGCGTGCTAGCAGTCGTTGCGGACCACGAATAACCGGGCAAGGGGCCGAGGAAGTAGAGAGAGTCGCCTGGCTTCAGAGAATGCAAGTGTGAAGAAACCTTCCCGTGGGGATATTTCTTGACAACAAGGTCGAGGAAGCCGCGCTGGTCTGGTTGTTTTTTTATTTGCCCAAGTCAGACTTGCTACTGAACCTGATAGTCGGTTCTTTATGGATGGTTGGAATATCATTGTCACAGGAATTATAGGACTTGTGAAGGAGGGAATGGATTGGCTGTAAGGTTTGACATACTCAGGCCGCTGACCGGTGTGTATGGTCGAATTGCCGGGAACCAGCTTTTTTGAGGCCAGCAAAAGACTAGGAGAGATGCTGCAATCACGGATTAGCCCTTTTTCAGCGAGCTGTGACTATATAAACAGGAAAGAGAAACATGAAAAAGGAGATCCATCCCATGTACATACAGGTCAACTGTAACCCACTGGTCCATGTTTGATTCGGGTACTCGAATCTGAGGCATTTAGTGTCGTGACTGAGTGATTTGACGCTTTGTACTCGCAGAGAAGTCGGCTTGAAACCACTGAACATGACAGGCGGTTCGTCTCCTGGTGTCTCGGCGAGTGCTTGCCCTATAAGGTGTCGTTTGAACGTGTATGTTCCACAACTAGCAAGTGTGAAGATGGCGATGAGTTTGTGTGAGGGTCTCATGAAAAGCAACATGATACCGTAGTTGAAGAATTGAGGAAGGAGTTTGCAAAGGTCAAGTAATAAGTTCAGCCAAGTGAAAGATATACTCCCAGCTATATTTATCTTGATTTCTACTACTTTTCGAAAACTGCTCCTGAGTCTCGCCAGTTCCAAGCTTTTGATTGGTTCCGGTAAGCCCGAGGCCCAGTCTCCGGGATACCGAGCCAATCACATCTTGGAGTCTAACTGTTTCCCAACCATGCAGAAACGGAGATACTTTGACCATGGTAGAATGCGCTGTATTTGCTGTCCACATTCCTGGTAGTTCCGTATTGGGGTCTAGCTTGAGAAAAGCGGATTGTAGCGCATAATCCTGTAGATTATTGTGTCTCGGGGTATGGCGGTCCCGAAATGCTAACAACATAGGTTTATGTATAAAGAACTCATTCCTCATCTCAATCACTCGCACCCCTCAGCGCCATCTTTTTTCCCTTTATTTTTGTGCATGCTTTTGACACCTCCCAAAGCATTATGTCCGATCCCAGAGCTGGTGCAGCATCTATGGAATGCGATCAAGATCATGATTCCAACAACTACATTGGTGGAGTCAAGCTTACCGCTCTCATGATCTCGATATCTCTTTGCATGTTCCTAGTATCTTTGGTGAGTCCGGTCTCCCACTTTGAGGTCTACAGGTTGGGTGAGCTGACCCTTGGCACTCGCGCTAGGACCGGACCATCATATCGACCGCCATACCCAGCATCACGAACGAATTCCAGTCCTTCGACGACATAGCATGGTACGGGAGCGCCTACATGTTGACTGGGTCGGTAATGCAGCTGCCCTTGGGCACTGTGTACCAGATATATGCGCCCAAATATGTATTCCTAGCGATCGTGTTGGTATTCCTTGTAGGCTCGGCCGTATGCGGCGGGGCCTCGCATTCCCTCGCTGTGATTCTCGGCCGTGCTGTTCAGGGCATCGGGTCGGCGGGAATTACAGCCGGCTGCATGATCATCATCACCGAGACCGTGCCGTTGCCTAAGAGACCAATGTACATGGGGATTCTAGGAGCGGTCTTTGGGGTCTCAGCTATTGCTGGACCCCTGCTTGGAGGCGCTCTGACCACTGGTGCCTCGTGGCGGTGGTGCTTTCTGATCAATCTGCCTATAGGCGCGGTTGCAATGATAGTCATATTTCTTGTGTTTCCTGACGGGGGAAAAGGGAGCGGTACTGATGAGGCGGGACAAGACACTGCAGCGATTACTACTGGCGGTGCTGGGGGCAACAACATGCGCTTTTGGGAACAGTTCCAACGGTTCAATCCGCTCGGCGTTTTTTTCATGGTTCCGGCTGTGGTATCTCTGGTGCTGGCTTTGGAATGGGGTGGCTCAACCTATGCTTGGAAATCCGCCCAGATAATTGTTCTCCTCATTCTTAGCGGCATGCTTTTCGTTCTCTTTGGCGTGGACCAGTGGCTGGAAGGGGACCGCTCGATAATCAAGCCACGGCTCATCGCAGACAGGACCGTGGCGGCCAGTGCGCTGTACACGGCATTTATCGGCGCCTCGATGATGAGCCTTATCTATCACTTGCCAATCTGGTTCCAAGCAATCAAGGGTGCCAGTGCGGTCAAGTCGGGGGAGATGAACATCCCGTTGCTCCTATCCCTGGTCATCGGATCCATGATCTCGGGGATTCTGGTATCCAAGCTAGTCGGTTACCCATCGCCATTCATGATCATCTCATCTGTCCTGATGACGGTGGGCGCGGGGCTGCTCAGTACTTTCACCGTGGCAACAGGCCACGCCGAATGGATCTCATATCAGGTTCTCTTTGGTATCGGCCTAGGCCTAGGCATGCAGCAGGGGGCGACGGCAGTCCAGACGGTGGTCCTCAAAGCCGACGTACCCTCCGTACTCTCTCTCCTATTCTTCTGCCAACAACTGGGAGGTTCAATTGCCCTTGCCATTGCACAGAACATTGTCTCTGGCAAACTGGTCTCGGGCCTGCATGCCAGTCTTCCAGGTCTGGACACATCAGCTATCATGAGCGCCGGTGCAACGCAGCTCAGAAGCATCGTTCCGAGCGAGTCGCTAGCAACACTCCTGCAGATATACAACGAGGCCGTGACAACCTCTTTCTACCTCACCGCAGCCACATCTGCAGTCACATTCCTCGCTGCGTGGTTCGTCGTGCCGAGAAGCGTTCTAGAGCCAACGAAGCGCAAAGATAACAGAGATCCGAGAGAAAAGAATAGGCTGGTCTAGAGATGACATGAAATTTTCACCTCTGCATGAGAGATCAGAAGCTAAAACAGGACTAAGAAAGTTTCCATTGGAAATATTTACCACTTGCACAACAAATCCGCGATTCAAATAAGCCAGGCGCCGAAATCGAAACTTGATTCCGGTGACGCAGCGGATATAAACATCGACTGATCCCAATTTTCGAGATGCTCCGTTGTTGTAGTCTCGCTCATGAAAGGAGTTACACCGTTAGCACCCTTGTTATGAAGTGTTTCAGGGGACCCCACCGGTGCGGCTTGGTCGTTGCGGATGTAAGGTTTCGACAGTAGTTCGGTGATGAAATGAGGTGCTGCTTCCACTTCGCTTTGTAAGGCTGCCCCTTTGCGGAGTGTCTGTCGAAGGCACCAGACCCGAAGAACAAGGGTATTCACCAAGCGATGTAGTCCACGATCTTCGTTATACATCTCCGGATAGCGCTGGTATAGTGTCTTGACGTGGTGCCATGTATTTTCTTCTCTCATGCCCAGATCTTTGGTTAGCATCGCCTGGAGCAACCAGATGAGAGCACCCCAAGGGAAATGGGCATAAATAAACCAGCGAAACCCATGCACAGACTGGTTTGAGTGCAGTAGCCGGTCATATTCCAACATCCGTAGGCCGTAAGTCAACTTGGAATCCGAGTCCCACAAGGATGAATGCTGGTTTTTCCGCGCCTTGGGCCGAATTTCCTGAGAGGAAGCTTCCATCTTGCATAGGGTCAAGCGCGCGAAAGAGTTAAGCATAAAATGCATGGGAATCACCGGGTCACAGAAGCGAAGAAATTTGTCTTCTACTGTCCTGCGGAAAACCTTGATTCGCGCAAGGGAAAGCAGCATGCGAGGATTGGTCCGCAGCATGACCTCAGGTGATGTTTCGAGATACACGGACCGGAACAGACGAACAGCCTCGTACTGAAATAGACAGAAACTCATGTCAGTCAGCCTGTCCGCGGCTGATGTCAGAATTTTGATCTCGGGATGGAGATCTTGATCGTCAATATTTGTTGGGAAATTAGTGTCCCAGGATTGTGAGACGACCGAGTTAACAGCCCCCGCTAGCTCGGACGCGCGGATTTCAAGAGCAACCAGATACCACCAGACACGACGACGTATTTCACACTCGTATTGAGAGAGGCCTAGCGACATCCCATCGCGATGGAGACCGATTGCCTGGGCTTTGCGAATGACGAACCCGAGTATGGACCAGAAACACGAGGGTTCGGACAGCTGATGAATGGTTGTCTACAGTAGGTTAGACGAAGATAGAACCTCTGGGGAATTGAGAAGAGAAACACTTACCAATAATAGTGCCAATGCCTGAACAAGCATTACGTCTAATGAGTGGAGAAAGTCCAATTTCAACAAGGCATCTCTCGCAGCCGCACAATAGTGTTCCATCAGAACTGCACGACTATGACCAAACATACTCTGGCACTCAACCTCACCGATGGAAACTATCGAGCTTGCATAAATCGAGGGCAAAAGTGCGTCAAAGCAGGCTGTTGTGGGTTTTGCCGACAGTTTTTGCTTTCTTAGCTGGTCAATAACTGGCCAATGAATAACCTTGGTTAATGGGTCTACATCCCGAAGGAATATTGACCATAATTTCTCCTCATGGGACGCTGGGATGACCAAAGTGGACTGGCTGGGCCCAATAAGGGTGAGAAGCATTCGGGAGAGCAGCGACCGGCCTGAGGAAGTGCTGGTGGATTCAGCGTGTGGCGTAGTTGGGGTGAACTAGGGGGCGCAGGTCAGAGCAGTCAACAAAAGCCTCACTCGCAAAGGTCCCACCTCTTTGCTTAAGGTCGCGACCATCGAATGCTCGTAATCTCTGCTGCCATCATGGTTCAAGACTGGCCCACCGATAGTTATGGGATCTTTGAAAGCAGTACCCTCTAGGTTGGACAGTGATTGACGATCGATTTCCTGTGCATGCAAAGGCCCTACATGGTCCAACGGCGATGATCTAACTCCTCAGACGGCCGCTTCTATGTCAGGTGTTGCGGCATCGGCATCATTGGCTGAAAGCGGAGTAAACGGAATATTATTGCGGCAAAGAAGATCTTCATATTCTCCCAACTTTTGCATTAGAAGCTCGGGCGAGTACTGGAACTTACGTTTGCGGGGACGATGCACGATGGTTGGATAAATGCACTCGGCTCTGGTGCGGTGGCAGGCGCCGCATGGCTCCTTTTTGTCACATTTGACCTTGCGCGTGGCACATTTGTTGCAGGCATTCAGATGCTTAAATTGAACCTCTGACGCAGACATACTCGAAAGGGGACCGGGACCTGGATAGAGGGCTGATAGATACAGGCAAAGGACTAGCCAACTATTTACCAAGTCAGAGGATAACGTAATTCCCACATGACCGGGATTCCCCATCCAGTATCGCGTCTTCCTACCTAACTTACCCGTGGCATTAACCGCCCATCGCCTAACCCAATCATTTTAACCTCGTAGCTTAAATAAAATCGTTTGAAATATCTTTCACCGGTCGGACTCAATGGATATCATCGAAATCTAAGAAGGCCGGAAGCTACAGCCTCTCTGTAAGAACTATCAGCACCCTATGAATAACGATTTCCGAGCACATTGAACCTACCTGAGTTGTGATTCTTGATGATCATTTGTGTATTGGCCATGCTAAATCAATCATTGCGTGTCAACAATCATAGTTCATTCTAATAATGGTGATGCGGTTTTGCCAAAATAACTAGCGGGTTGAAGAATAAATGTTAATTTGAACACTGTTCTTCAAGCATATTTGATAGCGTATAACGTAGTAATCAAAACAGAACACATATGACTCTTTTCCAAAAGGCTCTAGACTGTAGCACAGGAAAATAAGTTGGAGCGTTCGGATCTACCTTGGATAGCGTGCCTCACACTGTCAAATAACAGGCGGAAAAGTAGATATCGTCAATGAACTAAGGGCGGTTCTGGAAAATAAAATTTAGTGCTTAACCCGTCAGACCAGCAATGTTTAGGCAGGTTCAAGTGTGTTCGTTCAGGCCAAGTTCACCATTTAGCAGTTTTCACTAACACCATTTAACAAGATCCGAGTAGTTTTATTTAAACCCCACATCTTATTACGACTTCAACTCCCGAGGCTATAAGACCGAACACCTGAAATCAATGCTCTCCCTGGCCTCTGTATTTTATGACCCGGGATCCTCAAATGATGAATGCACCGCAATCATCGGTTCCGTAATCTTGGAATCATAGATCTTCATTGGAAGCACATCCTCCACCCCCATGCCAGACAAATCGTACCACCGCTGCCGAGCACTGTACTTCAGCATTGCAATTTCCCACCTTACTGTGGTCCTCAGCTTTTCCCGAATGATCCTTAGCTCTGATATTGGCAGAGTATTTCATGCCCTTTGGGAGCAGGTCACCTTCTTGCAGGGTACAACCATCACAGACGGCCAGGGGGTCGCGTGAGATGGTCTTCAATGGACGCCACACATTGATGATAGCCCACCTTGTCCGAGATAGCCGGGAGGCTTCTTCCTCGGGGGGCTTCTCGTACAGATAGACTTTCGCACCAGAAGAAGTATGATCAAGGTGGGCCGCTCGCGCAAGGCCTGGCGTACCCGTGTATTCGCTATTGACATCTGTAACGGAGGATCTAATGGTGTTGGAGACGACTTTGATGCGGGTTGGAGGCGGCTGGATGCTGTCGTGTCCATCTAGAGCTCATCACCAAACAGTCTATTGAGGGCGACTGTGGGAAGCCTGATGCTTACCTAGTCTCCAGAAGCCTAGCTATCTCGGGATAGACATCTAGTTTTATAATTGTGGGATCTGAGATCAAAATGTGCACGCTCGGAAAGGTAGTATGGCAGAAACCATTTTTTGATAGCTTAAACTCGTGCTTGCCACGAGGGTCATAGATCTTAACAGCTCGTTTATCTTTGGCGTTGGTGTAGAAGTCTGCCGTTCCAGTCATAGACCGGATGCCTGAATTGGATAGGATAAAGTTAATGGTCGTTTCGATATCTTTAGACATCCTTGTTGCCCTGTTTTTATGCTCGCTTTTTTGCCCCCTCTACTTCTGCTCTTGGGATAAGGATACTCGTGAATGCACCTGAGAAGTGGAGAATTTAACAAAGTTTGCTTGACATCGGATCTGATTCCAAGACCAACTGCGATCTTTGCAGCTCGAGAGATCTGACGTGGCATTCACTCACACCGCCATTTTCAGCGGCGGGTTATGGTTATGGCAAGCCAAGGCCAACTCCCAACATTGCATCGCTTCTGTTCGACAAGCTCTCCTCCTACATGTGTGGAAGGGTCGGCAAGAAGAACAGTCGAGGGCCAGATAAGACCTTCTTCATTATAGGTATAGCCCGTCAACGATTGATTCTCTAATATCCCTCTACCTGTACAGTAGATCAATTGCATTATGAACAGGAAAATGCTCATTGAAGGGTGAAGATGCTGATCAGAGCTTTAAACCGTAGCGGCAATAGGGCTATCGGCGTCCCATATGCAACACCTCTTGAGTCACATATCGCCGAGATCGTCATCTTCCGACCCGCGCAGAACCTCGTAGAGAGATCTGTATTTGGGAAGTAAGGCCTTCATCGATCGTGACGTCCCGTTTGAAATAGAAACATGACCTGATTCGTGAAACCATTTCATGTTGGTGGTATTGCTAGAAAATTACAGGATGCCGGACACGGCTGAAGATGTTGGTCAGAGGTATCGAGCTATGATTTAACTCCGGATCCTAATGCAATTTGCGTCAAAGCGTTGGACGTGGTCATCGAACTCTATTAAAGGGCATGGTGTTTCTAAGCTTGGCAGTACTGAATTGGTGAAATCCCATGATCTCGACCCCCAGGTGCTGGAAGGGGTGGGATTCGGCACAGGGTCCTTAACACCAACTCCCCGCAAATCACATAGACTGATAGAGACTCCTGTACAGTACCGAAACTCATGTCACACCGCTGAAGAGATGATCATTGCCTACTTACTGTGGGAGTTGTAAAAGGACTGGAAATCTTTTTGAAAACAGCCGATATGACCTCCTTATAAGTTAGGTACTACTGTGCCGAACATACATGAGTGGAGTCTGTTCCTCCTCACCTGGGGAACTCTGCTACTCTCTCCCTTCCTATGACCCCTGATCTGACCAACGCGTCGTTACAACACTGGCGAGAATGGACATCACCAATCAGACAACCCCCTACAACCCCACCGTTTTTGTGGATTTGGGTGGGACTTTCGTGCATTTGCCAGCCGACTATGCGTTGAAAACTGGCGACACGACACTTCCGCTCGGGCGAGTTCTATCTTCCTCGACCTGGATGGAGTACGAGGTCGGAAAGCTCACCGAGCAAGAATGCTTTGCCCGGGTGGCAGATCTCTTTGGCTTTGACGCGAAGGATCTCGAGGCAGTGGTTCTCGAACTTCGCGCCACTCTCCCCTACGACCCACAAATGCTTTCCGTTTTCAGGGCCGTGAAGAGAACTCCCGGGGTAAAGGTAAAGGTGGTTCTGATCACAAACATCCCCCAGGGAGAGTATCGTGCCCTGCGTGAACGTTGGGATGAGGCGTTCTGGAGTACATTTGACCACATTGTTACCTCCGGGGAAGTCGGCGTGCGGAAGCCCAGCCTGCAGTTCTACCGGCATGCACTGCGGGTCACGCGGTCGTCGCCGCAGCACAGCCTGGTGGTGGATGACCGACCGGAGAACGTGCTCGCAGCCATGTCTCTTGGGATGCGCGGGTATGTCGGTACGGACAGCATCGCCCGAGTGCTTGGGAACTTCACAGGCGATCCCGTGGAGCGCGGGCTTGCATTTCTCCGGAAAAATGCAGGCAAGCTGTACTCGACCACCGAGGACGGGGATTCGATCGAAGAGAATTATGCCCAACTGCTTATCCTGGAGGCGTTGAATGATAGGTACTGTACCATTCCTCCCCTCCCCCACCACCAAGTTTCAGATTCCTGACCGTCGTTGTTATCCATCAGGACTCTGGTCGATCTACAGCGCCCCCCCGGATTGTGGAATTTCTTCTCGGGCAGGCCAAAGTACACAAGCCAGAAATACCCCGATGACTTTGATACGACGTCTCTGGCCTTAGTCGCAATGGAGTATGAGCCCGAGGCCGCGCATCCAATCCTGGATGAGATGCTGAAGCACGTTAATGAAGACGGACTGGTCCCAGTAAGCTTTGAACCTCTGGTAGTCTTGTTTCGACCCGAAGCCAGACTAATCGGATGATGGATCAGATCTACTTTGATAAATCTCGACCCAGAGTCGATGCGGTCATCTCCCTCAACACCCTCGTTGCGTTCGGCAAATACGGGCGTGGCAACGAGCTTCCCGAGATGCTGAACTGGATTGAGCAGATCCTGCTCCACAGAGCCTACATTTACGGAACACGTTACTACCCGAGCCCGGAGTGGTTTCTGTACTACATGAGTCGACTGTTGACACATTCCAAGGATCCGGTCCTGAGCGAAAGATTCGAAGCGCTCCTGGCATCGCGCCTCGTCGAGCGGGTGGGCGTCGTGGGGGATGCCTTCTGCTTGGGGATGCGGCTGCTCGCTTGTCAATCCCTGGGGATCCAGAACCACCCGGACAGGGAAAGACTGACCAGCATCCAGCAAGCAGACGGCGGATGGGAGCCATCTGCAATGTACATTTTTCCAACGGCCAAAAAGACAGTCGGGAATCGGGGACCGACAACGGCCCTCGCTGTCAAGGCGCTGCTCCAGGCTGCGCAATAGAAACGTTGGAATTGTAGCCGAACCTTTCCTTTGAGAGGGTGAAGTTTGCTTGCACGACCGAGGTCGGATGTAGGTTTATTGTCATTGGAGCTCACCGGGTACTTTCTTGGTGATCACTGCAATGCACCACCACCAATCATATCACGGTGTCTGTAGATCAAATTATCCGGTATGAACTGTTGTGTAACCGGGAATGATTCTATTTCTCTCCACAAAGTATATTTAGCTAGTTAGGTACCCTTGCTTACCCACTCGGGTCACATATATCTAAAGCAGCCCCTTATCTGCTAGCTAGTGTACCTGTAATACGGCACCCACACGCCCGGGAATTCTTTTATGTATTGGTTAAGTGGGTGACCCACAACAAATCCCTTTCTGTTGCATATCTTCTTTTTTAGCTTTCGTTCTAGTTAAATAGTTTCTTTTGTATCCTGCCACGCCACATTTTACATTAAGGCTCGACATAACAGACTGTTCGTCGTTCAGCGAACGCCGCCATGGCTGCCCCTGGTGAGAATTCCCTTCTTCTTGTTTCGTGCTGAACCCCGGAAATATTCCACATTTTTGTTTCTGTCACATGGGTTAGAAGTGAATTTCATAACCTGGAAAGGTCTACAGCTAACCGGACCAGGGAGCTTCGTTGCTTTTATATACTATGCATTATCTTTTGTGAATACGATAGTTTTGCCGGTTGGCCAGACCACCAGCCTAGCTCATTGTTTGTCACAATTCCCTTTCCCAAACGACATATAGAATCGGGGTGGAGGGTCCAAACAAGATGAAATAAACCAAAATCACAGTTCTATGGGATGGTTCAGCCGGATGGACCGGCCCATCTTCCACAGATAATACGGCACGGGGACCATGGCCAACGCGATAAACCCCAGCAGGGAGTTGCCCCAGCCCAGGCCCAGACGGTCGTACAGCGGGGGGCCGGCCAACGGCAGGAGGGCGCCGAGGAGCGAGCGCGAGACGGTGACGGCGGCCATGGCGGAGGCGGCGTAGCGCGGGAAGGCGTCGATCATGTACATCTGGATGGCGAAGAAGATGCCCAGCATGCCGAAGCCGAAGGGCACGAGGCCGATCAACGGCACGAGCCAGAAGACGGCGCGGTCGACCGTCCACCCATACCAGAAGAGGGCGCCGGGGATCAGGAGGCCGAAGATCACCATGAAGGGCAGGCGCATCTCGGGCTCGTAGACACCGCCGTTGCGCGCGGTCAACGTGACGATCAGCCGGTCGCTCGTGGTGGCGATGCTCAGCAGGCCCGCCAGGAATCCCAGGCTGGGGCTTAGGTAGGCGAGCCCCGTGAGTTCCGGCGACCAGTGGTAGGTGTCCTGGTAGACAGTGGTGATGGTTGTCAGGAGCAAGTAGAAGAGCCCGTAGACTAGAGCCATGTAGGTGGAGAACAGCGCCACGAGGGGCGAAAGGAAGAGCATGCGCAGGGGGCGCGTCAGCTCTCGTTGCATCCGGCGCCAGGTGCTGGCGCCACTTCTGCTGCGGTTGCTGTGATTCGGCCCATCTGAGCTCTCGTAGACGGACCGTAGATCCGAACGGCCCAGCGCCTTGGCTAGGCGCGCAGTCTTGCGGGCGATCAGCACGGGGGCGTAGCTCTCCCGGTTGAGGAGCTCGATGGCGGCGCTGATCACCCCGCCGGCGCAGCAGAGCGTCCAGAAGACCCAGCGCCAACCGGCCCGTTCGGCAATGAACCCGCCGCAGATCGGGCCGAGCACTGGGCCGAAGATCACCCCCACCGCCGCGATCGCATTAGCCCCACCGCGTTCTTCCGGCACAAACAGATCGGCCACCACCCCACCGTTGAGCGTCATGCACCCTGCCCCTCCGATTCCGGCCAAGAAGCGGAACCCGATCAAGGCTCCTATTGTAGGCGCGCGGGCACAGCATATCTGCCAGACCACAAAGGACCAGTTCGCCACTGACATTACTGGGCGTCGACCCCAGATTTCGCTGGCGGGGCCTAAGAGCAGTGGTCCGACCACATAACCTGTCATGCCACAAACAGACACACACGTGTTAGATCAATCCGGGGAGAGTAGGAGTGCTTGGAGTGATAATTTTTGGGGAAAAGGAAGCACCTAAGAGATAGATCGAGGTCACAAAGCTGGACAGAATTGCACTCGAATTGTCGAGATCGGCATCGGTGTACGAGGCGGCCGGGGCCACAATGGTCGTAGCCAAGGGGGAGATGAAGGTGATCGCCGACACCTGGCTGATAAGCATCCACTTGCGGGATTTGGGGAAGTTCCGGGGCATCGACGGGTCTTCTTGGCTATCCCATCCGACAATGCCTTGGTCCAAGTCGGTCAGCGGCAGTGGCGTTGCTCCAGCTCCCGAGTCCGCTAATGGGGCATCTGACACAGTCGTCGCGGTATACTCATTCTCACAGCGGTTCTCGACCGCCTCGGGGCTAGTGGGTTTCAAAGTGGGCAGTAGGTTGATTTGGGTTACCTGATGAGATGCGGTTATGGGATCGAGTCTCGGCAATCCGGGAAAATAAGATAGACACTCACCTCGACGTTTGTTTCTGCCATGTTGCTTCCTGTAATCAGACATAGAAAACACAAACAAAATGTGAGAAGGGTGAAAATGGAAAGCAGAGAGTAGGAGTGGAAGGCAAGAAAAGATTGGATATTATGCCCCCGAACCGGGGGCGGTGCATGTTGCCTCAGCTCTCAGGACTTGCACTCTTAGTGCCACCAATGCTCACTCTGGGCTGAAAAGGGCTGGAGAGAGTCTGTCGAAGCCGCTAGATACTGTACAGTCTAGCATCGAATCCCTTTTCGGGAGGTTGCGTTCTTACCAGAGATAAGATTTCGCCCGTGATCGGTCGGTGTCTCCGTGATAAGGCATCTGGCCACCCGGATTGCCGTCGGAGAAGCGGTCTGGTATGGAGTGTCATGACATTTACCAATTAGAGCTTCGTTGTTGTTCCTTGATCAGAGCCCCTGTCAGCTTCTCGCGCGGGATTGGATGCTAGTCAATACTTGGGGCTAAATGTTAGGCGCCGGACTCAATCGGAAGAAAACTGTAGCCTAAAGTAGTCTCGACCCACCCAGCACACGTAGGATGCTGGGTTAGGTCACATATCTGACTTTTTTGAGGGCACTTGTTGCCGAGTGCTGGCCGGTCTTACTAGATAGACCCACCTATTGCTTATGCCACTTAGGGTTCATTCGCCAAGAGATCTGTCGGTTCTGTAAAGTGGTTGGTTGCCCTTTGTTGTGAATCTGGACTCTCGTATCGCCCTCCCCGCCCCCCCCCCCTTCCTTTTTTTCTTTCGCATTGTTTGCGGATACGGACCACCACTATCAAAAGTCTCGATATCTCCAGGCCTTGACTGGTGGATTCGGAACGTAAGCTGCCTTAAGTTGTCTTTCTTCAATCATCCGACGTGTCGACTGACCTTTGCATAACCCGAAGATGGCATTTCCGGGTGGAGGCTTGTTGCATCGCGGCACGAAGATGGCCGAGGAGCAAAAAAGCACAGCGGCGGGGTTGATGGTCGAATCGGCATGAGCCCTCTGTATTTGCCACAGGTCGAATTGTCCGTTGCTAAGCATTGCCTATGGAAATATGTAATATTGTGAACCCAAGAAGCCCCTCTCAGTCACGCGTGACACACCCATATTCCCACCTCCGTACCGATTGATCGCGTCCACTTCGGGCAACATTTGTATTGACCCGAAGAAGGGGAAAGACGTGGTTCTCGGTCGTGGGAATAGTGCTGGAGACATTGTAGCACCGGAAAATGGACTTGAGTGATGGCTGGGGTCGGAGACCTGGGAATAGTGGCCGTACCCTGTTCCCCAGATTTGGGCTGATTCTACCCTGCATGCTGCCCAGCCATTCTTCTGGCCACTTGGATGAGTACGTGGGGCGGCGCTTAAGCTTAAGCGACTCTGAGATGTACTGTACTCGATTCGACCATGTCTTGTTTATTTAGTCTGATGGCGAGCTCGAGGCAAGAAACTACTAGGTAGGTACACTGCAGAAGTCGGGGCTAGCTTTGGTCATTCTGATCAAACAATGCAAGGAGTCTGGCCTGAATCAAATTACCGCACTCAAGGAACTGTACATTGTATCTTTGACAAGTGAAACTGCTAGATTGACGTCGTATGTTTCTTTGTTTTGTCCGTAAGTCATATTTACACAATTTCTTTATTCCGGTGGTTTGTCGTATCAATTTCCATTACTTTCTTCTACAATGGTTCTTTATCGCCGACCTTGGCTGTTTGTCTCGAGGATATGTTAACATATTGTGCTAAGCATTCACCTTTGTTCTATATCCAATAAATAGAGTTTTTACTATATAAAGCTCTTGGCAAAGCTCATATATCAGGATCCATAACCCAAGCTCCATTGCATTTCGATAGCACGCCCGAAGTGTAACGTTATATCCGTGTTCCATCCTCCAAGAGCAGCAGTTCGTAGGTGCGTGCCAGTATTCAGGCCACAAGCCCAAGACATGCCTTCCAAGATGACCGAAATATACGTGAGAGCCCACGGCAGGAATATTCTGATATCCATTGCCAAGGAAACGGATGAATTCGAGCATCAGGCGGATGTAGTGGAGCCAGAGCAGGGGCCCGAGCCCGCTGTGAGTGTGGAGATGGATGTGGACGCGGACGGGGCCGTTAATCTGAACATCACCAAGACTGTAGAGGCGGACATCAATGCTGATGGGTCTGTGGATGGTTGGTTGTTTATCTATATCACTCTACTTGGTCCGTTTGAGTGCTGCAGAAGAAGATAAGAAATAGATTTTTGGTTACTTCCACTTGGTTTATGTCCTTTTTGTAGGGGCTGAGGTTCGGGATGTTCTGAGAGCGAGGATTTCCCTATTCCCGACCGAGCTTTTGCTCTGTGTAGTGTGTTATTAGTTCGCTTCTCTGGTTGATCTACTGCTAAAAAAGAGGAGTCCGTTGTTTTTGTACTCGAGGCAGAATTAAGCACCTTGTCGTGCCAGCTGTATCATTCGTTGATGTGCAAAGCTAAGGTGTCCCTACTTCTGCTGCGCGAGAGATAGTCAAATAATCTCGTCAACCGTTATATATTCAGTGGCAGAGGTTGTCGAATACCAACCCCCTCCTCATGTATCACTAGATCGAAACTACATGTAAAATTGTTATTTAGAATGTAGGAACTCTTAGGCAGCGTCCCCGATCGTTTTCCTGCACACGAAAGGATGAATGAGAGGGGTATTCCTGGCTGGGCCAGGTTGAGCACGAAGCTATCGTGCAACGAAAATTTGAGAGATTCACCATTTTCAAGCACAAGATCGTCCTACGGCCGATGCTCCTCTCTAGGCTATGGCCGTGTCTCTCCTTTCATCGATCCTCTGACTCACGCGGCAAAGCTCTTCATACTCTTCTCGAGTGACACTTGGAGGTGTATACTTCAATTCCAACCCCAATACCCGCAGCTCCTGCTCCAATCGTGTGATCCGGTCCCATGGATACTCCTCCGGATCGGTGGGTAGGAAATGATGCGGGTCCGGGTCGAAGTTGAGCTCAATCGTCCGCAGCGCCGGGTGAAGATCCGGAGTGGCGACGGCAATGAATTTGGCCATTCCCCGCAGCCAGTCTTCTTCCCGTTCCCCGAAATCTTCGCATGCTATTTCATGAAAGGACAGGTTCCAGACAAAGGTGTGTACGGCTGGGCTCAGGAGCTGCTCGTCTATCGTCGAAGGAGGAACAAATCGTTTCTGGGACCCGGGACAGGTGACTGTACGCAGGTTGCGCGACCGCGCCGCATGAAACTCGGCGGCCAGTGGAGAATGCCCGAGGATTATACGTCGTAGCGCGTGCGGATGCGCCTTCAACCAGGCGGAAAATAGGTTTCTGTCGACAATTGCTTCTGCGGCCATCTTAGTCGCGCATCCTGATCCGAACGCAATGCAAAAGTCGACCGGGTCGCCGGGGATGGGACGTGGCTCGATCACATCATTCTGTACCCGCACGGGCCAGAAAGTATTGACATCAGCCTGGATGCTCTTTTACCATCACTTTCATAGAAATCCTAGCAAGGTAGAATGTAGTGTACTGTGGAGAGAAGGGGGGTAAATGGAGATGATAATGGACAAGAGAACAAAAGGGAAGGAAAAACCTGTATTGCATCACCACGTTTCCGCGCCCTCTCGTTGATCGCTTCCAAAACTTTCGTGCCAGTGCCCGGCAATCTTTGTAACTCCTCTTGTCCGAGTATCTGACAGTCGAAGCGACAATCAAACCCATAGACGGGCGAATCAGGTTCAGTTGCCAGCTCGATCTGTCTCAGAGCAGGGAGCTGCCGGAGAGCATATTTGAGAATTTCCCATCGACTGAGGTCAATAATCTGCCCCGACACAGCTTTAGTCCGTGAGTAGGCCCTGTCCTTAGGTGCAAGGAACGCCACGCCCCATATCTTCAGGATGCGGACCGCGCGACACCAGGTGAGGACATCGGCTGCCGCCGTATAGTCGTCGATTGTGATATATTCAGCGGGGTATATCGGCCTAAGATCCAGGACCAAAGACCGGACAAGTAAGGACAATGCCTCGTTTGACTGTAGAGTGCGGTGCAGACATATGACTCGTGGTTGGCAGGGGAAAGAAAGCTTGAGGTCGTGGTACTGAATGGGAAGGGCGAGGCGGTAGAACCGCTGACAGGTGAGGAGAATGGCGGTGAGGGTGTGTCGCGAGTCTTGCAAGCAGACCTGGAAAATCTGACTGAGAATCTCGGGCGGCAGATCGAGAATCGATACTCGGGACATTTTGGTAGTTGAAATTTGGGGTGTTGATGGAGGCATAGGTGTGAGGGAATATGGAGATGGTGATTCCAGGCTATCTAGGAGGAACTGGAATTACTACTGTATACCTACCTTATCTACACGGCGGCTGGGGCGGTGAGCTGTCCTCAGCCGGTCCGAGACTTTAGGCAGAGAAAGGCGCTCTCCAGGCTCCAGGCTCTCGATATTCCTAGCGTTCCCACAGTGGTTGTGGGGACTGACTAAAAGCTCTGGCCAAGATAGGCCGAATGTACAGAGGTTCCTTTGTAAACTGTTTAGCATAAGTAAGTACAGGAAAGAGAATAGTCATCAAGAACAACTTCAAACCCATTTATAACCCCGTCTCAGCAAGGCATATACAACCGGCCTCCCTTTCCGGAAGTTGTTCCACCCTCTCTGCATGTACCTCACTCCAACTCCAGTAAGAAGAGTATCGACAGTGGCGTGAGACTTGAGCTTCAGCTGTATACTGCCTGCGTGGGAAACATCACTACCTCAATCTTCATATCCTTGTCCCCAAATTCCTATCCTCCTTTGCATACAAGTACCTGATTTCCTTATCTTCCTCCTTACCTAAAGGATTCCTCTTATCAACCTGTAAGCACACAATATTAGTAGGCTAACCTAGAACGTCCGATCTAAAATCCACTACATCGTATTTCTACTATCCGATATACTCTTCTGCTCAATGTATATTAGCATTGCGGTAAGTAGTTCTAATACGCACCCTGCCTTTTACTTTTACTAGCCTAAACCCATATATTCTTTTTCTTTGTGCCTTTTGATATCTTTTACACTACTTCTTAAGTCTCATTCTTTCAGAGAAAAAAACACCTAGATATTCTGCTTATATTTTATATCCGAATTCGAAATAAACTACAATATGCAAAACAGCACCGGGGGTTACAATATAGTCCGCTATCGCCTCTCGGCAGCGACCCCGTCGACCCACTGCAGATCAACGGGTCAACCTTGCGACTGGGGTCCCGCTCCTGGTAGTGGGCCCCTTACCCGTGGGTGTTCTTCCGGTACGGCCCGGTTTTCAGACTGGGCCAATAGTCACTAAACAATACGGACGATACCTGTTCGTATTCTATTCTCTTCTTCATATCTGAGCTAGGGCTATGGCATCATAAGCAGCTACTAGCAAAATGTCTGCTATCGAAAATATTTTGAAAGATGTTCGTGACGAAGCTGGCTTAGATTCCGAAGATCGACTCGGTATACTACAATGAACATTCACTAGGTCTCCAACAACGCTCTTCGGATCGGGTACAGGTGTACTGCACAGTAAGCTCCGTCAAGAACCTGATCTACTCAAATTCAAAACATCCCCATCCGCGACCTCCGCATCCTCAAAGCTTTCTTTCATGCATGAAGCCAGACCTTGAAGCAACCGTGCAAAGGAACAATCGATATCACCGCTAGTATCAATCTGAGGGGATTATCATCAACAAACAACGCAATCAAATATTAGCAGCGAGATCCATCCTCATACCTTCACCAATACCCCTCTCCTCTGATAATGCGCAAGGATTCTCATATTCTCAACACAATACTGTTGATACCGCATATCAAAGGTCGACCCATTGTCAATTCTACCGGGAAGCTGTCTGGTCAAGAATCTCTGTCTGGCTAGCGCACCCGGACAATCGAAAAACAAGACCAGGTCGGGCGATCCGATTTACAGAACGAAACATTAGCTCACCAATGAATATAACCAGTCTGTTATACTAAGCGAGCGGGCATCTTCACCGCTTCTTCAATTGGCGCTGCTTGCTCGAGCGTGCGTGGGACTTCGTCAATAAGCAGCCGCAGCTTGTCTTGAGTGTCTTTTTTGAGATCTGCGATGGCGTCGCGCAAGATGGGCGCGAGGCCTTTCACGTCGAGCAAAATGCTTCTCTGGATCTTGTTAAGGATCTCAGGGTCCATGCGGCCAGAGCGAGCTACCTGTCGCAAGAGGTCGCCAACTGATAGATGATGAAGCCCGAAGTCGGCTGCGAGCTTGGCGCACAGCGATCCTTTGCCTGCGCCGGGGGCTCCTGGAGTTGAAGGGATGTCAAGGGGCAACAGTGTTGTATTTGATAGTTGGAGTTCTTACCTCTGACATAGATGCGAGAGAAGCGGCGGAGGGCCATGGTGCTTGTGGTGCTTAGGGAATTTATGCGCTTTCTGCTGATGTTGACAGTGGTAGAGGTGGTAAGAGAGTAGAAGCATCAGGAGACTTCTTATATAGGCTTTCTTGAGAGACTGGAAGTCATTTGTGAATTAAAGCGGGACGTGGAGGGTTATCAGGTAGGGAATGAAGCATACGACATTAGATTCGGTAATCTGAGACCACCCTGCGTTTGTGCTCTCTCCATCCACATCGACTGCACACAACAAATCCACCCCCCCCCCCACCACAAAATCACTACAACATCAACATGAGCAACAGCTGCATCTAGATGCTTTGACAAGGCTCTAGATCAGAATCAAAATCCGTGCTTATCCATCCACTCCACGACAAGTCAGCCGCAAAGAAAGTGCACAACTCATCTCTTCAGTTCAAACCCCCAACTCAACACCCGTCTCAAACATCACGCAAAGAATCCCATATCGCCAAAATGCTCCTCCTAGAAGTCGAACGTAAATTCTGCCACCTGGCAGTTGACAAGCTCCACCTCACCAGCGGCCACCCACCTTTCCACCGCCTCCTCTACCGCGGCACGCAAACCTTCCACGATATCTACTATGACTCGGACGACTTCCTCTCCACCAGAGGCGTCTGGGTCCGCCAACGCAACAACACCTGGCAGGCCAAGATCCGACGCGGCGGGGACTACTCCAACTCCAAGTTCGAGGAGCTCTCCACGCCTGCTTCCATCTCTGCTTACCTGGCCGAGCTCACGGGCGGAACGAGAACCGACGCGACGAACCAGTTTGGGTTGAACGCCGATGGCGTCCTTTACAACACTACGCGAAAGTTGGACTGCGGACGATGATTTTAAGATTGTGCAGGATGTCACGGACTTGGGGCATACCGTCGGGGAGGTGGAGCTGGAATTGCGGTGGGACTGCAGGGATGATCGGCCTAAGATTGATGTGGAACGGCGCAGAGCGGCGAAGATGGCGGAGATGGATGAGAGGATTATGGTGTTTATGAGGCGGTATCACTGGGCGTTCTGCGCGGGTGTGCCCAAGGGGAAGTTGACGGCTTACTTCGAGAGAGGAGTGGGGAAGGACAGCTGGTCATAATTCTTGTGGTTTGAGAAGGGGTGAGTCTGGAATTATGGATTGTCTTGGGGCGCTGGAACTTGGATTTTGGGATTTCTTTCGTTTCATGGTATTTGCTTTCTGGCTTGTGTACGGAGTGCATGAGCCTTGCAGTGTTGTTCAATGATACAATCTCCTCTCTATGCTTTGTGATACAAGATGACCATCATGGATTTTGCTAATCGGAAGAGATGTGTTTCTTTCTCTAATGAATTCGTGGCACCTGAGTCGTATGCTAGCTATGATAGTATGACTCTCCTAATCTACGATCAGCTCGTAGTCATGATGAGTAGCCTGTAGAAGACACACAATCCCGGCTGTATAGCATGCAGCGGACTTCTTGAGTATGAAAACAGGCAAGGAGGGAGTCGAGAACCATCAGCGATTCTTTAGTTTCACGACCGGAACATCTTCGACTTGGCAGAGGACCTGAGAAGACCTTCAACAAACTGCACTCGTTGTCCCAAGTCTGCAACTCCAGCCGGGATAGTCACATAAGGAATTCCATGACTCTGCAGAGCAGTCCGGAAAGCTCCGGCGATCGAACGTCACTCTTCAACGTCGTTACATGCCACGCGGACATTATCGCTCGATAGCCAGCTCACGTTCCGGGGCTTCGCAAACGATGACGCATGCTTTCTTCATCTTCTTCCGAAGGACGCGCCATTCTTTCAGTTTTGTCAGCTCCTCAGCCGCTGGTCGTCCCAGAAACACCTCAGCGTACACAATAGGATTGATTCCTGATCTATCTGAAATATACCATTTGCCTTTTAGCTTTTCTTCCGCTTGATGTTGAGCTAGTATGGTGCTTTTCTGCAGCTCCAGCCCCGCAGTGGGGTTTCTGACATCACTTGCAGTGAAGCCGTCCGTGCGCATGATATCCCGGACAAGCTCGTTAATGATCGCGGGGCTTCCATTCTCCCCACACAGTTCTGCGACCAGACTGTCTGTTAGGTGGGTACGGAGGCCCTCGACAAGGGTTGTCTTCCCGGTAAAATGGGCTCCGACAAGGTAGATGTTGAGTGGCTGGTTCTGGGTGCTCATGGTGGTATAAAATGATCGACCTAAAGCGTGGTGGAAAAAATGCTGGAGGGGTAAATCAATGACTCCCTTTTGTTCGAGAATTGCGTTACTATGGACTGGGGATGGATTGATCGCTGATTTTGATGACTTGTTGTAACAGATAAAAGTTCACGAAGTTGTGTTCTTGGATAGAAGAAGCTATACGGCCAACAGCAGCGAGCCAGGCCCATCTGCATTTCCCATTTGGGGACTATATAAGATTTATATGCTCCATTCACTTCTTTATCTTATTTTTGCTGTCGTTGCGTTGTGGTCTCCTTGAGAATCTTCCGGAATTTCCTCATTGATCCGCACACGGACAATATGTGTTGTTTGGTCTTTCTACTGTCATGGATTTTGGCACTCACCATATACCTGGCTTTTCGGAGCTATTGTATGACCCGCAAACCCTCGAAACCCTCCAAATGCCCGGTTTCCGTGAACTATCACTTCACCCGACGGTGCAACAAAGCCTGCGGCTTCTGTTTTCACACCGCGTCTTCCTCACACATCGAGTCCCTCGCAAACATGAAGCAGGCCCTCGCCCTCCTCAAAGATGCAGGCATGCGGAAGATCAACTTCGCCGGCGGCGAGCCGTTCCTCTACCCAAATACACTGGGCCAGATGGTCGACTACTGCGAGGAGACCCTTCGCCTAGAATCCGTCTCCATCGTCACCAACGGGAGCAAAGTGACGGAGCGGTTTCTCGCCCGACACGGATGCAACATCGACATCCTGGCCGTCTTGTGCGACTCGTTCAACGAGTCGGTCAACGTTGCCATCGGCCGCAGCTCCGGCAACTAAGTCACCAAGCTTTCCGAGATCCGGGACCTCTGCCGGGCGTACGGAATAGATGAAGATCAACACCGTGGTCTGCCGGCTCAACTTCGATGAGGACATGAACCGGTCCATCGAGGAGCTGCAGCCGTACCGCTGGAAGTGCTTCCAGGTTCTGCTAGTCCCTGGGGAGAACGATTCGGAACGAAGGCTTCGCGATGCCCGCGGGTTCTTAATCCGGGACGAGGAGTTTGCTCATTTCTGTGATGTTCACCGCCGACAGAGAGCGTTTGTACCGGAGTCGAATGCGCTTATGGCAAAGTCATATTTGATCATGGATGAGCATCTGCGCTTTTTGGATCGAGATGGTCGTGAGCCGTCGCCTTCGATACTGGAAGTTGGGGTCCAGGGCACTTGAGAGTGTCTATTGGGATGAGAAGAGCTTCATCTCGAAAGGTGGGATGTACGATTGGTCGAGGGATCAGAAGTCATGTTCGGATACCCACAGGGTTTTAGACTGGAAGGTGACTGATGGAGCAATGGGTTCATCCTTTGTATTCCTTGACGCCATCGAGCAAGCCCGACATAACCTTTGGTGGAGCTCACACGCTTCGCTACTGAGCCTGACATTCCGGGAACCGGGTTCAATATATAGATACCGGAGCCGAAAGTGCACCATTCGCACGCTCATTTTCCAACAGATATTTGCAGGTCTGAGCTAGACTAAATGAACAGAATATGCACAGAGTATGCTCAGAAAAAATAGAGTGATATGTTGACTCGAAGAAACCGCAAATGTCAACCCTCTTAAACAATGTAAAACTGAAGCAAAAGTGAGGTCATCCTGTACGCCCGCCGAGTCGGCAAGCCACCAAGTATAATTTAGCAGGCGGAGAGACGGTAAGCGGGTAAGCGCCTGCCTACGCCTGCCCCGAAATTAAGGCCGCATCGCCTAATTGAGGCGCGTCTCCCGCCCCCCCCCACAATTTCTTTGACGCGTCAAAGTCTACGGTAGCTCCGTCACCCAGAGAACAAACCCACCATCCATTCATTACACACGGTCTAGAAGCTCGTGGAAGAGCTTGCATCATCACTACCTACGCAATTTCCCTTACCCTCACATAAAACCCAGTTGGAAATCATCCCTGCCGCGAAAACCCCGCTGTTGCCGTCCACGCCTTTTGTCCGCGTTAACACGCACGCATCTCCTTCCGATCCAACCACCACCACCACCACAGATTCGTCGCCACGGGATGGAGAGTTAGGGAGATGGGCCATCCGTGCCAGGAATACTAATGGAATCATGGCGGGAGCGAGGCTTTGTACCGGACTCAGACTCGGAGGACGGGTTCGACAGCCAGGAGACGCTCAACTCTTCCCGCAAGGATGACGAGCGGGCGGTCGAAGGCTCGGTGGCTGCTGCGGCGGTGGTCAAAGATGTCGCAACCAATATACGGGTCACTGGAGCGGAGGAAAGAGGCACCGATCCTTCGCAGGATGTGAATGGTAGCGATCTAGTTCGTTCTTCGACACTTGACTCGAGCGTCGAAGAGGGTCCTACGCACAATCTACCCACGCACGAACCGACGGCAACGACCGACCACGCATACGAAGAGGCGCCAACGGAACAGCCGGCAGAGGAGACCACCCCTCGAGCGAGTGGGAAGCTGGCTGAGTTGGACGAAGTCTTGGGAGATGCACCACGCAGCGCCTCATCGACCCCAAGGGCACAAAAGAAGGCAGCTACCTGGGATGATTCTAGCTCTGAGGACGAATTACAGTTTGAGTATATGCGACCTCGAAAACCGGTCCGGGTCTATACTCGTGTCAAGAGTGTTAGTCAGCCACAACCAGCGGAGGAGAATTATGACTCTTCCACGCCGTCGTCGCCTCTCTCGTCGCTTGATTCCCTGCGCCTGGACTTTGATGAGGAGGAGGATCAAGGGAATAGTGCTGCGGACAATGATCAGACGCAGAATGAAGGGGGAGCTTCGCATGGTCAGACGGCACTGGAGGAGCTGATGGAGTTGGATATGCCAAGGGAGGTCTCGCCGGAACAAAATTCCACAGAGCAGGATGTTACGGAGAAGGAATTCACGGAGCAAATCTCGACAGAAAAGGACACAGAAGAGCAATGGCCGACAATGCAGACGCTCCTAGAACACAATATGACCGAGCAAGACTTGATGGAACAAGAATCGGCACAGGAGCTCCCGCCGCTGGACCTTCCTGAAGAGCTACTTCGTGAGCTTTCCCAACCAGCGCGAAGATCTCTGCGAGAGCGCAAGGCTATTCAATTGCATCCGTACATGTTGGAAGATGTGAAATATCGCAACCTTATGCGAGCGCGAGGAGTCAAACCAGTGCGCGTGGCCCAGCAGGAGATCAATCGTTCGGGTGCTCAAGAAAGTCAGAACCAGGAGTATGTCGACCAACCAGAGCCAATGTCAGATAGTCTGGGAGCCGAATTTGAATATCTGCCGTCATCTCCACTCGAGACTCGACTTCCTGTACAGAAAAGGCCAATTGAATCATCTCCGGAGCGTCAACACCATCAGGCGCCACGAGCTCAGTCTACTAACCGGCTCCCGGGTCCTACCGTAAAGAGGCGAAAGGTGTCCAAAATTGCAGATCCTCAGCAAACTCCTCGGACTCAGACTCAAGCCCGGTTACAGGTTGTCATCGATAACGGCTCATCCCCCGCTAGCCAGGCTAGTAAGCCTATCTTCGAAATCCCTAGCCCGCCCCGCTCTGAGGATGATGGCCCATCTGATGAGGAACCTTCCACCACATTTCGGTTTCCTAGAGGTTTCACGCCTGCGTTGAATACCCCCAGTACTGGGCCACGAGCTGCGACCACTGATCGAGATGTCATGGACTGGTCTGCACCTGAGATTGAAGGCAGTGTGGATGATGGGCATTTCGAGGCCACTATCAGTCCTCTGGTCCAGGAAGGGTCTCACGCTCTGAGCGAAGAGGAGCGGGAGGAGACTGACGGCGAAAAGTCAGATGAGGATGAAGCTGCAATACGGCGGCGTTATCAGCGACGTATTAAGGGAGTGCTACCTGCATCATGGCTGCGATTGGATCAGCAAAAGCAGAAGAAGGTGCAGCTTGGCTCAACGCAGCGGAACAATGAAAGGATGTCTGCGAGAACGGAGGAGACGAAGGGTGTTGCTAGGCGAGTGCTGAAACATGGCGGCAATGCTAGACTGCCGGGGTCGATAGACGCACTGCGACAGCTTGCCGATTCCGACAGTGAGGACGGACAAGAAGACAAAGACCCCGACGACGAATCCATTTCACGTCCGCCGGCGGCTCGACAAGGGTACGAGCATACATCACTGTATCACGATATGGATGACGACATCCCAGAAGACAACCGGATCGATGACATGTTCCCCCCAGTTCCTCTTTCTACGTCGGGCCTAAAAGCCCGAAAGCAGGGAAAGAAAGACACTACCGTCAATACAAATGGTGTTTCTTCTAGTCTTGTGTCCATGAGGTCTCATATCAAGAGACAAGCAAGGCTAACGGATCACATTTACCGGACACAGAAACAAGAGAAGCGAAGAGCGCCAGCTCTGCCTAAGATTGGTGTTCTGGATGCACCAGATGTTGTTTCTCGACCTCGAAGCAAACAGCCACAGTTTCTCAGGGTTGCCGCACGCAAGGCGCGTACTCGCCAAGATAAGGGAAGGAGAAGCCCGTCTCGCAAGGTCTTCAAGTTAAATTCGCACGCAGATACTAAAGATGCGAATGCTTCGTTGCATGAGTGGCGATCAGGTAATCTTCGACAAACCAGACTGCCTCATATGCAAAGCAAACCTTTCAAGCACCAGACCTCGCGAGAAGGCCATGCGAAGACACAAGATCGTATAGGCATTAAAGGGGGTCGACCGCCTGTAAAGACCATGGCATCTTCTCTAGCGTCATTATATCGATCTAGAGACTCCGGAGAACATGGTGTCCGAGTTGAGGAACACCCTCTTGGTACGGATTCAACAACTCCGCCCCAAAGGTCAAATGGTGACCATGTATCTCGTGAAACCGGTAAATCAGAGCAACCAAGTAATAGATGGATTGTCAAAAGGAATTTCGCAGTCACATCCTTTTCGAGAAATGGCTTTAGACCTGCGTTGCTCGAAGAGGTGAACCCAGCCGGTCGACCTGTGTCCTCGGTGTCTTTCCAACGATCATTATCGCAGTTGAACCGAGATTACCGCGGAAAAGGCCTTCCTCGGATAAGGCGTGAAAACGTGGTCATGGATAGGTTCATCGCGAGTCGCAGTTCGACACCTGTTCCGGCCGAGAAATCAAATGAGCCCGCTACGGCCCAGATGGTTGACAACGCGAGCGTCATACCCCCAATGTTACAGACCCGGTTGCAAAGTCGTCAGGTAAGGAAGCGTCCACCAAGGCGGTTGGAAGTCAACACGCTCCAAGAACAGGAGCCGCTTTTTCAAGAGACAATCACAATCTCAGACTCGCATTGGGGAGCCGAGGAACCGCAGCACTCTGGGTGCCCCGTCGGGGTACTTGAAGAGTTGCAGCGATCATATACCATTGACTTCAACATTTCTCCATTGGTTTCAGGAACGTTTTTTCATGAGTCAACCTTTATCGGAAGCGGAGAGTTTTGTCGCTCGCTGAAGATTCTCACCAGAAACCTCGACACTGATGCTGGATGTTTCACTTTGCATCTTGAAGACGAACGTCACCGTTGGGGTGCTTGGAATGATGCCGTTTCCTCCGGTCTCGGACTTGCTTTCGACAAGATTGTTGAGGAACTGGATAGACCGGTCGAGGGCCCAGCACAGTCCCTCACTCGAAGTGTCGAGAAGCAAGGGTGCATGGTGTACCGGTCCTTGATCAAGTACGTCACGGACACTCTTTCCTTCATCGATCCTATCGATAGGACGGGGTTTGTGAGGCGAGCGCATAGCCTTGTTTGCAAGGTCAATGACACTTTGGCGACGTTGGTCCCGACAACCGAGCCGGAGATGGATCACCTTCTGACAATCTCT